TCTATTAATGTGACCTAATCTTTTATGCCAAATATTTTTGTCAACATCTTCATTTGTCTTGTAAACACATTCACCCTCTGTATAATTATTTTTCACATTAGGTACTACATTCAACCGAGCATTCAACAGTTTTAAAATCTATATGTAAGAAGAATAAATCATTTTCGCAGTTACAATAAAATGCAGAATTATTTTTGGAAAGAATGACACAATTTTTACCTGACTCGTTGTTAAAAACAACTTTAAAATCTTATTGAAGTAATTTACTTACTGATAAAAGATTATGTGACATACCTTCAACCAGCAGTGCATTGTTGCGGCATATTGTTATTTCCTTTCTTTGACAAATTCCTTTAATTGTACCTTTCTTTCTTGAATATAATATTTCTTTATCTTTGACCGTCCCTATTTTAACTTCATATTCCAGTTCCTTGATGTCAAACATATATTCTTCTAGCTTGCCCATTACCATGTGTTGGGTATACAACCTGAATCTATAAAACAAAACGATTTAAATTGCGTGATATATTTCCCATGTTCAATGCAATGAATGCAATTTCATCTGCCTGGTTTGCATGAGATCCTGCTTGACTTTGGTCATTATTGGTTCGTGGTTGTCATCTACTACCGTGTGGATAAGAGTCTCTAAAAGTATTTCTCCGACCTCTAAAATATTCTCTAAATTGGTTCTGATGGCCGTCTGCAATTTTGTGACCAACTTTTCCACATTTATAACAACTATAGGGTTGTACTTTGAAAGATACTTCTAACCGGTTACTACTTTGGCCTTGTTTTGTTTTCAGCTTCATTTTTTCATCCAGCAAACGAGATTTTACAAAGTCCATAGTGACTGTACTGTTCATTGTTTCTATTGCAGTAATAACCGAGTCATATTGATCATTGACGGTTAATAGAAGGTGGCGTGTTTAAGTGTCAGCAATCTTTTCTCCAGGGAAAGTTTGGTAAAAACGCTTCTTCTTTGGAATACATCCTCTAAGGATTTTATTATGTCCTTGGTTGTTTTTGAATCCTTGATTATGTCTAAGTGTATATCACTTACACATTGCACAATGATGGATTTCGCCTTCGCATCTCCTAATTTGAAATCTGCTGTTTCTCTAGCTCCAGAGAAATCATCAATTGTCTTTTCCAGTGTATCTTCTAGTTGTTTTTCCCCCAATAATGCCCCAACTCTGAACTTCCAATTATTGAAATTTTATTGAGTTTTACTGTGGTACTGTTGAGACATTCATTTTTTTTTACTGATACGTAAATGTTAAGGTACTGCTAATTTTTAAAAGTCTTTATTCAAGTGGAATATACCTCTTGTGTCTCTTGTGCATGAGCCCATAACTTGTTACGATTATTTTTGATATTGGGGACTTAGTGGTGGGATTGCAGAAGAGCTCGGTGTCATCTTCAAAGAAACTGACATTGGTTTTAAGGTTCGTTGGAAGGAAAAGCGTATGTCCGTATGTCAAGTCGATTACCGAAGTTTGTGTATAGGATACGATTGGTTGGAGCCTTCTCAAAGTCCAGGTATATACGACGTCAATAGCTTATCCCTCTCATTTGTCCTTGTACATGAATCAAAGCACGATAGCAAGTTGGTTTCGGTCGATCTTTCAGGCATAAATCCATACCTACTGTGAAGACGGAAGGGTATTGTTTTCTATTAAAAAGTTTGTCAGTTCTTTGGTTACCACTTTTTCCATGGATTCACAAGTATTACGATGTAAGACTTATAGGACGTTGAATAACAGATAATATAGCAGATACACCAACGGCAATCTTTTAGTAGTTACGTCATCTGGACGACTAATTGGCTGGATAATGTAGGCTCATGCCGTAGATGGCGAAAGAGCCAAAAGTCTATCACCTCTTCGCTATACTTTGATGATGCACGACATAAGTATGTGGGACTTGAAGTAACCAGTGTTAGAAAGCATCCCAGCAAATTCTATGGAAAATTCCAAATATCAAAAGAGACAAATTAAAAATGAAGAACAAAAACAGCAAGTTAGTGAGAAATCAACACTATTACGCACTGTAGAAGAGTTTTCATACCATACTATAATCCCGAATACAGAACAAATAAGAGAGAGGACTTCCAATGACATCAACGATATTTTCCATGTATAAAATGAAAAATATCACGTATTGTAATGTTATGTTATTACAAAATAGTAAGCCATTAAATTGTTTCTGACACAAGTCCAAGTTCTTAAATCAATCGAGAGCATCCCTTCAATTCTTTCCATTGAAAAAATATCACCAAAAGCTCCAAAATGACACCAGCAAAACCGCTATATTGAATATTTGCAACGCGGACGTCAGGACCATATATTTAACCAGTCAGGAAAACTTTCTCCAAGAGATTTAAGTGGATAATGGAACTTTTTTGCCACCCCGAGAAAATTTGATATAGTAAACACCTCACGCGCGGTATCACAAAAACGCTTTTATTAGAAAAAGGGGAAAATGTGTCGAGGGACTGGAGTCTGGATATCTGCGTACAACAGATGCCAAATACGGTCCCTTGAAGCTTTTTGCTTTGTTCGCCACTTGTGGTTAAATGTGCAAACTTTACCAATTCTTATCAGTAGCGTAGTGTTTATTTATATAATAAATTATTACTGTCAGGTAGGTAACTGCAAGACCAGTTTACTCATACCCAAATAATACCAATTAATTCTGGTGCACGTTCACGGGACATTTTGCCTCTCCGAGTTGGACAAGATAAAAACTTTTTCAAATTTATCTCGATATAAATTTAATTAATTTAAATGCCATTAACTCTGTTCAAATAAGACCGAGATGAGATGGCCGCCTATCAATGGATTTCTGTTATTGCTGGTTATAGGGAGCACCAAGATAAATACGAGTGATTTAATTAAAATCGGTGATTGTTATGCATCAAGATTTAATCGAAAAAATAAATTATATTCAAGAAGTGTGTGATAATAAAGATTCTATAATCTGTCCACGGTTTAATAAACTTTTTATTATGAACAGCGTTATTTTTACCTTTTAGTATTAGTGACTGTCATCAGCAACATGACTTTTAATGCTCTTATGACTGATGTATCGCTTCAACATTATAAAGATTAAAAACGTAATTTTAGTCCCCAATATATGAGCTTTAATACCTGGATAATTAAAAAATTCACTAAGAAAAATTTCAATTTGCGTCTGATAATTTTTCAAGGCAAGGGGTGGCAATGATAAAAGTATTTCAGGAAAATAGAGGGGTTTATAAACAAATTGTAATATTTATTTTCATTAAAGACAGAGAGACATTTTGTGATCTATTCTAAACTGAATCGAATACCTTAAGTGATGAATTTTCTATAAAATTAGATGCCTCCCTAAAAAATGATATTTTGTTTGGATATTGATATAAATTTCAAAGAAGCCTTTGTGCTGTCTTAATTTGATCTCAACAAGGGAACAACCTTTTGCTCTTAGACCTCAACGCAACGCAAACACAAAAGATTCTATTTAGAAAAAAAACTGGCTCCCTTCCTTTAGCCGTTTAATCCCTTTCCGAGACGAGCATCCATAATCTTTCCAGTAACCAAGCGATAAATTTTAATTTCACCTCACGACAAAAGCGGCAATCTAATGTAAACACTAGAAGCACACAAAAGCTGTGCTTTTCTTTTGTGTTGAAGAAAATATATCATAATACAAGCAAGAAAAATAATAATTCTTGTGTTCTCCGTAATGGAAGAATTTGTCCTATCATGTAAGGTGCAAGTAGCTTAAGAATGTTAAAACATAGGACTGAATTTTCATCCACATAACGTAAAACTACATAGTAGGTAAACTTTAGAAATCCTAATTATTTTACTCAAATTGGAATACTTTCCGTATTAACTTATCTAAAGTAAACAAGTATTTATTGACATCATGAATTAGCCCGAGATGTCCAATCCACGGACCTTCTTCATCATCAATCATTTTTGTCGATTTTGTGCCGCCTGTATTCAATTTCCGGCTAAACGTTTTAGTCCACCTTTTGTCTCCTAAATTTAGTGGCAATATTCGAAGCGGTTGGTATTGCTGATTCTGACTTGAGAGACACAGATTATAGATAATAACAAGAGCTTATCAATATATGCCGTCATTTCCAGGAGAGGTTTTGCGGGATTCAATGCTATTCTAGCATTAGGTAGGTATATCTATTGAGAAATCTTCTGAAACTTGATTCCTGTTGAGTTGTAATACATGCTTCCTTATACGAGGTTCCAGTTCCATCAGTTGTTCGGTGTTCATAGCCTCTGTGATTGGTACATCAATGTATCATTCATTTCCTCAAAAGGAGAATTTAAGTGAAGGGTTTAAAGCGGTGCCCATTATAGATTCTAAGGAATTAGGGGATAATTGGGTTTTAAAAAGCCTTGGATAGTGAAACGCTGTCTTTCCCTGATATTAGAGGTCAGTTCCAATAACTTGAGCTCCAGTTTCTGCCGTTTTTTTTCCCCATTTGATTTTCTGCTACTCGGTTTTTCTCTCCTATTTGTAATTATTCGATACCTTGGCATGAACTTCACCATTATCACTTCTACTTCAGAATCTATTGAGAGTTTCTACAACCTGAATTAGCAATTTGTGATTTTCAAGAAGAAATCAATATCGCTAAACTTTACCTCGCCAGGGCCCCATCATCTGTTTCAAATTCTTCCTTTTTGCCCACTTTGCTATTAAAATCTGAATGCCATTTCGCATTCTGAAAAAAGGATTGGGACTTGGATAATTTTCAAGCTATCTGTATCTCGCTTGTTGAGCTTTAGTGGTCAAAATTATGACCCCTTGATAATAGCAATGTTTCATGCTCAGAGTTCTTCTGGATACAGTGAAGCCGCTTGTTTTTTTTTTCAATGGGAGACATTCCTAGATATCTATGTCAATTTTGTTCGCTTTTTTTTCACAAGGCTTATTTTCTCCTGGAAGATCATGGTTTTTGACGAAATTTAGGTGGATTAACTTTGCAATACAGTTATGCCGGTGCAGGTACTCATTTGACGATAGAATACAGCCAGTGATGTGCTGTATTGTCTCCGAAGCACATTAACATTTCCTGCACTTATCGTTTCATGATTCGGGATCCTTCATCACATGCTTCCTATAGTGGATAGTTGGAATAACCATATCTTGAATGGCCATAAAGAAACCTTCAGTTTCAGGAAATAACTCTCTCCTGCAATCAGTAAAGGCTTACCCAGGTGCGGACGTATTTTCTGATCATAATCCTCTTATTGCTCAGTTTCAACTACAACTGAAAAAGATGCAAACCAGTCACAAAATCGATAAACTAAACATAGAGATGCTTAAATCAGAAGAAATCAGAGATAAACTCAAACAAGAAATCAATGAAAATTTAGAAAGAAATGTCTCCGAATCTCAACAAAATAAAGAAAACCCAGAACAACAATGGCAACTCATTAAAACATCACTTTTAGGACCCAGGAAAAAATAACGACAAATAAAGATAAAAAAGAAGATTGGCTGACAGACGAAATATTAGAATTAATGAATGAAAGAAGGGAGTACAGAGCAAAAAACAACACCTGCTACAAACAACTGCAAAGTAAAATAAGAAGAAAGATAAGAGAAGCAAAAGAAACTTATTTCTCTGAAAGATGTACTGAGATAGAAGAGTTACAAAACAGATATGACAACTTTAACTTACACAAAAAAGACAAGGAACTAGCGGGATTTGGAAAGATAAAAAACTCAAACATACTTTTGGATAAAGAAGGAAATATCATAATGGAAACTGAAAAAAATTGAGAAGATGGAAAGAATACATAGAGGAATTATTTCATGACCAAAGATGGGAAAACACGGCTGCAGTATATCAAGGTGGAGACATAGGACCTGAAATAGCTAAATTGGAGCTTGAATATGCACTTAAATTCATGAAGAATAAGAAATCTGCAGGTCCAAATGGAATACCAAGCGAGTTGCTCAAGTTGATCAACGAAAAAAACATAAATTTTTTGGTGTAGCTGTATAACATAATCTACAATACAGGATTCATCCCACAAGAAATTTTTTATGTCTACCGAAAAAAGTCAATGCCAAAGAATGCAGTGCGCACATAAAACTATAAGCTTAATGTCACATACGTTAAAAATTCTCCTAAAAATTATATACAGCAGAATTCATCACAAGCTAGAATTGGACATCAGTGACACTCAATTTGGTTTTCGAAATGGAGTGGGTGCAAAAGAAGCATTATTTTCTTTTAACGTGTTAACTCTGAGATGTTTGGATATTAACCAGGACCTCTATATCTGCTTCATAGACTACAAATAAAGCAACTGATAAAGTGAACCATAACCAACTTATAGACCGTCTCAAAAGCAAAAACCTGGATAGACAAGATGTAAGATTAATTTCAAATCTGTATTACAATCAACGAGACTCAGTAAAAATTGGACAGGAAAAATCTGCTGAAATGGAAATAAACAGAGGGGTCAGGCAAGGATACATATTGTCGCCTTTATTATTTAATGCGTACTCCGAGCAAATTATAATAGGAGCATTGGAAAATGAGACCGCTGGTATAAAATTAAATGGAGTTTTGATTAGCAACATCTGATATGCACACGACACAGTAATAATAGCCGGCAGTTTAAAAGAATTAGAACGAGTCATGAACAAAACATTTAGGTGTAGTCATGGGTGCCCGGTGGGGGGGGCATCTGCCCCCCTGGCTTTTAACATAAATACTTAAAAATAAAAGAGAAAAAAATAAATAAAAATAATTAGGTATTTCCATTTTTATTTTTTTTGATTTGAATTCATCGATCATTAATGAATGAATTGGTTAATAAAGATTTTTATGAAGAAGTTATTAATAGGTTTGGGAGAGACTCAAGAAGAATGCCATTTGCATTTACCTATTCGGAAAAATGTATTTTTTTTAATTTGGAATATTTCATTTACGTTGCGTTGTTTTAGTTTTGATTACAATTTTTTTTAATTTTTTTCCCACAACGAAAAGTAATTTGTGCACCTATCAAAAGATACAGAGAATTAACTTTTTTTCCCGTCCGAAATAAAAGTATTTCCAAATTGTTTTATTTTTTAAAAATAATAAAAAAAAATTCCGCCTGCGGTGCGCTTTCCACGATTCTCCCAAGAGCAGTTTATTTGCCCCCCCCCCCTGTGACAAATTCTGCGGGCGCCGTTGGGTGTAGTGCAAATTATGGACTCTTCTTCAATATCAAGGAAACCAAAATAAAAATTTGTAAGAACAACAACACAAATGAAATTTTAATGGTCGGAGGTCAACAGTATGAAAAAGTGAAAAGATACACTTACTTAGGAACAATTATTACAGAAAACAATGATTATACCGCAGAAATAAAAACCAGAATTGAACAAGCTCGTACCAACTTTATAAAAATGAAAAAAGTCCTGTGTAGTAAAGAGCTGAAGTTAAGGCTCAAACTAAGATCGAAAAATGTTATGTTCACAGTGTGCTTTATTATGGGGTGGAAGCATGGACACTGAATGCAGATACAATGAGACGACTCAACTCTTTCGAGATGTGGACCAATAGGAAAGTTTTTAGAATTTCTTGGGCAGATCGAATCACAAACATTGAAGTGCTGAGAAAAATTGCAGAAAGAGGTTGAAACTACAATTCAAGAGAGAAAGTTGCAGCTTCTGGAACACATAATGCGGGGCCAGAAGTACAGTCTTCTACGACTAATAATGCAGGGAAAAATAGAAGGCAAGAGAAGCATAGGCAGGAGACCAGTTTCATGGCTGAAGAATCTGAGAGACTGGTTTGAATGCAGCTCAAAAAATGTTTTTAGAGCAACTGCCGTAAAAGTCAGGATTGCGATGATGATTGTCAACCTCCGTCACGGAGATGGAACTTAGAGAAGAGAAGGGCCACTGGTTAGATCACTCCTAATCCACATTCTCGGCAGAAAGGTCGTGAGGGTGTTTTCCGTGAATGGCCTTCTGCTTCCATGCGTCCATAATCCGTAAACGAACCTGTTCTGTTTTAGTTGGCAGGTTAACATCTACGTTGCCAGACTGTAAATTCAGTCCCCTATCAGCCCGGATGACGGCGCATAGTAGCGGGTTCGAATCTCTTTAGGAGTAGAAGAATTTTTGGAGATTTTCAATTTGTTGCTTGTATAGATATATTCGATATCAATATAAGGCCTCGGCCACCTTGAGTTCTCGTTTCAACAGTGTTTTCTTTATAAGATCTTGGGTGAGCCGTTCTATATTCTGTAAGTAGTGTTCTTGTTTTACGTCCCAATTCTTCTAGGTCAGTTTTCGTCCACTTAATTACACCCAAGGTATATGTGAAAACCGGCACAGCATATGTGTTTATTGCCTTAAAGGTGTTTATAGAATTTAACTAGGCCTTTAAAATATTAGTAACATGCTGGACATAGGTTCAGGAAATGTATTATTTTATAATTATTTTGTGTTCAGTTCTCAATCCCTGCTGCAGGCCTAAGGTATTTGTAAGTTTCGTTTTCAATTAATGGTGCCAGGGTCCTTCCATCCCGCAGCTCGTGCGGTGTTATGTTATGTTTACCTTTGATGACGGTCTACGTTCGACATTTTTCAAGGCCAAATGACGTGCCGATATCACGTGAGAATGGATCATATGCATAAAACACGAGCATATGCTTTCGCTTAAATTTTTTGAGATAAACATACTCAGCTTTGATGCAGCAAAAAGAGATGGAGGTAGAGTAAAAGCACTTGCTACACATTATCCAAACCACTGAATATCTCAATAGTTCTGAGAAGTGACTTCACATAAGGTTAAGTTCAGAATAAACCTTGATGTCATCCATGAACAGTAGGTGTGTCACTTAACCAGGTCGCTGCATCATTAAAGGAACAAGGTGTAGACCAGATAGACTCCCAAAACCCTTTGATTTGCTGTGTAGTTGGTGGGTTGCTATTACTAGCGCTCGTCTCTTCTCCTAATTTTCATTATTTTGGAAGAGTTTATTGGCAGCTTTTCTCTCGTATGACGTCATAAAAGATACTATGACGTTTAGCAGTCGCGCTTAACTTCTGCCTCAGAATGTCCACTACTTGCAAGGCTTTCATTCGGAGGGTCGTATCCTGTGTGTTGTGTTATTATTATTATTATTGTTGTAGCAGTGGGAAGTTTTTTAAAAAAACCGATGAGACTGCCGTAGGTTAGACAACTATCACAGTCTTAGTTTTGTACACAGTAATGCATAAAGGTGGATGTGGTCCAACTTCTCATTTTCTGGTCGAGGCGATTCTTGAATTGATTTCTGAAGGTAGAGTTAATGGTGTCAACACTCAGGCGGTTCCAACTGTAGATAATTCTATTGATAAGGAAATTTCTCTGCAGGAGCTTATTGCATTTGATCATGACCTCTTAGACTTGTGTTGTGACTAAGGTGGAAGATGCATCTCAGATTACAGGCATAGTGACCATTGAGTATTTTATGTGTTTCATTGAAATCACTTCTGATTCTCCTGTCCCTTTAAGTTGTGAGGTCTAATCTTACGAGCCTTTCCTCATAGGGCAGATCTTTAATTTCTTGCGGTAATCTGGATATTCTTCTTCGAACTCTATCTCTGCTCGCTCTATATCTTTGACTTAGTATATGGGTACCGTACCAGATAGTTTAGGCATACATTTATAAATCAGCTTGATGTAGCAGTGGATTTGTGTATAGGTTTCCATCATTATCAAATTGATGTAGCATTGTGTAGAGCTCTTGATAAAGAGCACTTATACGAGGACTGATCCCTGAGAAACACCGCTGTGTACTGTACTTTGTGCTCCTTCGAAAGTGAGGAATCCAACACATACTTTGGAAAGTAAACATTCAGTGCGGAAGCCTTCTAACAACCTCAGAAGTTTACACCAAACCAGAAAATGTTCCAATTTATAGAGCAGAAACTCTATTGGTATCTTTTCAAAACCAAGGTAAATGACATCAATATGTTCATGGTTGTCATCAGCCAGGGTCCACTCATTTAATCTGGTTAGCAGGTTTGTTAATATTGATCTTTATGGAAGAAAGACATTTTCTTGTAGAAAATCAGTTCTTTGGTTGTTATTTTATTGATGCATTTACAAGTGCACTTAGACTGATTGGACTATAATTTTCTGCATGTTGTTGGTTTCCTTTCTTATAAATTGGTGATCCCGGGGCTTTCTTCCAGTTTTGGTTTTAGTGCTTTGATTGCAGTTTCTACTTTTTCTGCTGTGAATATGATGGTTGGTTATTTCAGTCCTGAAGTAGGTTTCTAAGGGAAGTGTGGGTTCAATTGTGTTCTGATCCAATAATGCAATAGTGTGTATACGCTTTCAAATTGCTTTGCAAAGCATTCTGCAATTTATTATTTGGTTATTGTTTTGAGATGGTTGTTGGGTTGCTTTATCAAGTATGTTATAAAGTTTTTATGCTTGGAGTTGAGGGTGCAACTTGCATGCAAAGAATT